CGGCGGCCATCTGTCCGGCCATTGCAATGTTGGCGTAGGGGTTGGCGGCCATCGCGTTGTTGGCATTGTCTACGGCCTGCGACACGTAATGGGAATCAATGGCCACCGATTGGTGATTGTGCTGACCATCGCTAACGGCTGCTGTCGTCACGTCCTGTTGTCCGTCACCACCGCTGGACTGGTCTTCGGGTAACGGTATGTCAATGGTGTGAGCGTTGGTCTCATCTGTTAATGACATGACATTCACAATGAAGTAGAAGAAGATGTGGAAGAAGTGGTCAATCGATACGACAATGAGAAGAGAAAACGGGGATTAAATTGATTGATATTTTGCAAAAGTAATCAGTTTTTAAATGATTTGAATTGAATTACTGTTCATTCAATCAATGATTTTATGATTTAATCGTTTATTTAAAACACTATTCAATCAAACAATGGATGCCTTTCTTTGACCGCAAGAAATGACCGGAAAATCAACGCATGTTTTGAATCGTGTTTTTGTTGTTTTGTGTGAAAAACGTTTGCTTTCAACGGGTCTTCAGTAATGGCCGACACTTTGGCTTCAATACACGTGACTATCGCTCCATAGATGGCGACACTCGACACGTGATTGCGTATAAAATACATAAACGTAAAGTAACATGATCATTTAGCATACTTTTATAAGAGTTCGCCACTTATAATGAACTTTTTTTTATCATTTATTATACACATATATAGTATATAATTTTTGTACAGTTTGTAAATCTAGTTAATTAAATGATTAGGTGCATGGTGAATTAGTTTTAGATTTTTAAATCTTTTCTAGACCCATAGACACGACAATGTATTCTAAATGTTTAGATTCTGTAAACAGATGTAGTTTTGTACGGTTTTTGTGCCACAATTGTAACTCATAAGCAGAATATTCTGGTTATTATATAATCGGATTAATAGATTAGAGACAAAGTTTTGCATTAATAGCATTACGAATGCGAATACATATTAAATGTTACTTATTTATTATGTTTCTAATACACCAACAAATACTGGCATTGGTTTAAATAACAAAATCAACATTTTTATATTCATAATAATATTTTACTTATTTCTTATTTAACTATAAATTTAGTTTTAAAATATTTTAAAATTTGGACAGTATTTAAAATGTGGTAAAATTAATTTAAGATTTTTTATTTGATTTGCAAATTAAATCACATTTTGTTTGTATAATAAAACATATAAAGTATAGGGAAATGTATGTTAGAAATCGACTTTACAATCGTAATCCTCATTACATAATATCAATCCTTTGCATAATTCAAAGCGTTTAAAGTTGTGTTCGGACAACAGTCGGGCGATCGGAGACTCGTTGACGAAGGCGTGAATCACTTTATCGGTTCCGTCCATCAGTTTGACGAGCGCTCCCATCGTCTCAATCGCCGCTTTCGTCGTCCGGACGTCCAGTGTCTCCAACAAAAGGCATTGAGATATTATGGACGCAATGGTGGCGTCGCTTATACTTCTCTGTCCGCGAAGATTCAATTTTGTCAGATATTTAAGTCGTTTTACATTCAACACAATATCGTCGGTCAGAAAGTTGTGAAAGTTCTGGTGTTGACCACTGGTCCACAGCTCCAGACACTGGATGTGCGGCAAATATCTGACGATACCGTCGACGGCGCCCTTATTGATGAGCGTTTGGTCCAATTGAAGAGTTTTCAAGCGTTTCAATGATCGCAAAAACTTAATACAATTGTAATTAATATGTACTCCGCTCTGAATGGCGACATAGAGTTGCGTTAAATGTGTACATTTGCCACAGTTTTCCATCAGATAATACAAGTCTTCGTCGTTGCAGTGGTTCTCGACGGAGAAGCCGAATGAGATGAGTGTCGGAAACTTTTCGCAAATCATTTCCACACAGTTTTGATTGATTTTTGTCACAAACNATTTGCCACAGTTTTCCATCAGATAATACAAGTCTTCGTCGTTGCAGTGGTTCTCGACGGAGAAGCCGAATGAGATGAGTGTCGGAAACTTTTCGCAAATCATTTCCACACAGTTTTGATTGATTTTTGTCACAAACAGTCGTTTTAGCGCCGATTGCTGTCCAGACAGTCGATGGATGACATTCTTGTTGAATATATTGCCCGGCATTTCCAGTTTGACGAGTTGTGTCAGCACAGGTCCCTCTTCTGTACCGAAATAGTTGCCACTAAATCGGGAACTCGTGATCCCGTTTTCAGGCTCACTGTCCACAACGGTTCCCCGAAAACAGTGCGAATGAAACACTATTGTCTCAATTTGTGGCCATTGGGTAAACAACCGGTTAAGACTGTATTCACTGATGTGTAGAATGAGATAATCGATGTACAGATATGTCAATTGTGGCAAATTTTGGCTCAATTCCGACACTTCCTCGTGAGTTATATACACAGTTCGGCCATTCATTGAACACTCGCTTAACTCGAGTCTCAGATGTCTTAGGCTTTCGCAACAGTTTTGAGCGATAAGTGACAGGAAATTAGTGCTACATTTGGTTAGCTTAAGACAAACGCATAGCGTTTCCAACTTGTGGTACTTCTTGAGCGCTTTGGCGATGAATAGTCTGTCTT